ATAATATATATATATATATATAATATACATATATATATATATATATATATATATATATATTCATGCAACAGAAAACCACTACGATCACACTTTCCCCACTAAAAACTCAGACAAGTAAATGTCATCAACTAGAAAAATAACGACACAATTTCAATCGAAGGAAACCTAACAGGATAGCAACTACTTCATAAATAGACACATATTAGCACCCACAGGTCCGAGATCTTACTCAAATACTTGTCAAATTACCATCTACATACAGCATCTTCTACAGAGGTAGCCAAAGCATGTCCCAAGTGCAATGTTCCGGTGACGTTTGGTGGTGGAATAACCACAGTAAAAATCCCTTTCGGATTCGGCTTACTGCAATAAATCTCTTTATGAAAAAACTTATGTTTCTGAACAAAAACTTCAAAGCTCTAAAAAATAATTCAAAAGACAAGCACTCATTAGCGCTTATCATTTATAAAGCTATTACAATTGATAGCTGACATGCAATTGTATCAATGAAATAAATGAAGCATAGAATGATCAGTCAGTTCTAACTGAAATCCATATAACGGAATTTGGTTTTTCCAGTTAACAGCGTAGGTCTCATTTTATCAACAGTCAATAACCTTAAATCACGTTTATACTCAGGCCGAAAAAAGCCTGATTTCTCCCACCACTCATACCAAGCTGCTTCCACATATTTTGGGCTATAAGCATTTGGCAGTTCAATATTGATGTTCTTCTTCTCTCCGGGTTTTGTATTAGCAGTGTATTCACAAATCTCCCTCTTCTTTGCTCTCATCGTCTGAAAATGTTGCTAGTGGGTTGAAAAAGACATACATACAAAATATAAATAAACGTAAAATTTAGAAACCAAGTAGAAAGAAACTACAAGAACTACAAATGAATTGAAACTACAAAAACTACAAGTGAGTTAAATGAACCTCTATCAGTTGTTTTGGTTGACATGCTTTTACGTCCGCCTTCTTCACCTTTTCACGAAATTTTGCTAGCTTCGCTGCTTTTGCTGCCTCCTTCTTTAACTCTTTGGCTGTTTTTGGTTTCCTCAATGCCAGATCATCACTGACTTGAACAGTCCCAGTTCCAACAGCACTCGACATTAATCTGAACCATGAACGGACGTACTTTACATCCCGACAGATTTGAACTAGTTCTAGGAACACGAATAAGGACACATAAAAAGAACAAAACGTTTTACACGGAATAACTTCTTAACTAAATATCTAAATGATATAAGTAAAGGTACTAGCATTGTGAATTTCCATGGCATGTGTTTAATGCACATCAAACAAAAATAAGCGTAATAAGTACTGCACCACAATCTCTCACTAAAAAGCCTAAAAAACGTTAGGTGATAAAAAAGTTTGGATGGTTCCAAAATCCAATCATGTGCGCCGAATTTTTGCGATTTAATGCAGTTGGATACAATTTTCTGTTAAGATCAGATCAACAAGGCCAGCGGAATAAAACTAGGGTAAAAACACCCGCTAGGGGAATGCGAATAATGGCACCTGTCTGATTATTGGAAATCATCAAATATGACTAAAAACAAAATCCACCAACTTTTATTTCATAAATTGGATATGACAATACATCAACACGAAAGAATAACTGACATATATTTAGAACAAATAACAACAGAAAGAATCATTTGTATCTACATTAAAACGCATGTAAAACGCACACTGCGAGTAGTTACTTATATCTCGAAAAAAATTGCAGAATATCATACCGCTGCAAATTTAGTATTTAAGACAGCTCCTCCTTTAAGCTGAAAAAAAAAGATGTCTTAAATACTAAGTTTGCATGACCTAAGTTTCGGACCTAAATAACAAGTTTTAAACTTGGATAGATCGCGCTGTTTGTCAAATGGCTTCCACACACTAACAAAGTTAATGTATTACGAACAGAAAAAAAAAAAAAACTGAAACTCGCAAAAAGCATGATCCAGGAATCACGCAGAAAGAAAACAAATTGAAACTATTTCTCGAAGAAAACAACGTTCCATATCCTCACGATGAGACGAACTTTAATGATCTCTCATAATAATTCACTAGTTTCTGAAATTACATTGAATCACTGCGATAGCACTCGTGAAATAGAATGCAGTTAAAGAATTAGATACAACATTCGACATTAGCACCTTAGATTTATGCACTGATATTCACTTCATAAATGGGCTTGCAAAAACCGAATTTTGCACATTCATTAAACACATGACTCATGACTCTACTGTGTATCAAAACGACAGGCACAGTATTCAGTATTCAATAATAGCAAATGACAAGAACTCAAACCATGCCAAGTTTCACAGTAAAAAAATATGAATTCCATTGATACCGATCTTCAATAGGTGGATAAAAATTACCTTTGGACATTTGCTGACCAACACCTGAGTTGGTATAAGGTCATAGCGTCCGTCCTCAAAACGCACCACTGCCAGGATTTCATTATCCTGTTTTTTAACACCAAGAATGCAGTCAACTTTAGTACGTTTTGACGAAATTTCTTCACTGTCATCACTGCTATTTTCTGAAGCATATCGTGGAATTTAGCATTTAAGCAACTAGAGCGGATTCAAGAAAAACATTAGGAATAATTTAGGAGAAACAATAGGAATAACCTTCGGAATATAATTCCTTCTTAATTTCATCTGTTTTCCTTTTTAGGAATTTTGATGGTTCCTTTTCGTCATCATTTGAACCGCTTCCCTGAAATTTGTAGTTCATAAGAAAAAAGAAACAGAAGAGAAGGAGAAATAAACGAAAATAAATAGCACACAATAGACTGAAAAAAATAAAAGTAACCATTGTTACTGGTCTACTTCGTAGCAAATACTTCGTCGCATTTTTCTTCAGACTTTCCTCATATTCACGAATCGCATCAGGAGCAGATTTCTTAAATATATCCGTTCCATAAAAATTTTATAAAGAGTCATGTTTCCAAAACGTAATTCAGGCAAATGTTCTATTCTCGAATTAAGATAAAGAATCCCAAGTAGGTCTGAGTATTACAAATAATGCAGTAGAATATGAATCAATTGAAAAAATGTGAGTATGAGTGAACTTACTTTTAGCTGCAAATGTGAAAGTGAGGAAATGAATAGATGAACAAAAAATCGAAGAACTTACACAATTTTCTGCAGATTCCCATGTATTTTCGCTTTCATTGTCATATCCCGCCCATTTGATCAAATATTCGATTCTTTTCCTCCGTCGATTATATCGTCTATCAAGAATTTTTTCCACCACATATTCTTCATCGTCGGTCTCTCCAGGTATTTCTTTGTCCACTTCTCCTATGTCATCATCATCATTGTTTTCATCAATAGTATCACTACTGTTTTCGGAATTTCCGCTTTTCTCATCATTATCTACCGTCATTCCCTCTTTATTTCCATCACTGCTGTCACCATCACTTTGTAATTTTTCCTAAAAATAAAAAAGGAAAAGGGAAATCGGGAAAAGTTCCAATGTAAAGCAAAAAAATAATAGTTAACAATTCGTTAGCAATGTATTCGAATTATATGGAGTATATAATTCGATACCCTAAAAGACAGTCAACTACTTGAAAGATGAACAAGATTTGAAAGATTTCTTCAATCTCCCTAGAATTTTTCGATAGCTCCTTTCATTTTTAGTTTTCACTATTATAAATTATATATCGGATTCTTGCTTAAGCTCTTTTGTAGCATTTACTTGCTAATTGCTAAACTTTGCGGCATTTATTTGCTAATTTATTTGAACAAAAATCAAGGCAGTAATAAATATACTTTCTCTCTCTCATTCGCTATTCTAATGGCTTCTGTCTTCACAGGAACGTCGGAAATTTTCAGTTCATGCTGATTCGTTTTGCCATCATTACCTGCACTCTAAAATGTAATAATGAAGCACCTGATTTGTTGACTTATTGATATTCTCATTTATTAATATTCCAAGTTTCTGAAAGATAAGTGTCGGGTTGAATCGCAGAAAAAATTGATAGATAAATATGGACTCAGTAATGAATATGTCCAAGATGTTAAAAACTTCAGTGTCGAAAGAAATTTCATCTACAATAAAAAATGCAGTTAACTTAACGGGAATTTGAAAACAATGAAAAAAGAAAAAATCAAGCTAGTAAAGCCCGGATTTTCGACCTGTTATACAAAGTTTTTGAATTTAGAGATTTGCAAAAATGAAGGGATTCTTGGTATATATGCTTTATGAAGTAGAGTAGTGTATGGCAAAAAAGGTCTACTAAGAACTTAATATTTATCCGCTTTCAACAGCGTCTAATTGAATGACAAAAAAAAACCTCTTCATTGTTATCGATCGATTCACAACCATTACCAATAGCGCTTGTACTGTTAGTAATCTCGCCTTCTAAAGTTCAATTATTAGTATTACTAGGCCTAATGAGTAAGATGCTATCTTATCGAAACACGTGCATAATCTTGTCTAAACAATTTAAAGCACACCATACGATGGTAAGGTAGATGGCAACAAATCTTTTGTAAAATCGCTAGACTTTAAAATAAATAAAAGAAAGTGGGCGTTATAATAAAAAGTTAAGAATAAAAGAAAGTATGTTACAACAAGCTTCGAATAAAGCTAATCAGTGGCACCAATTATTACTTGATGACGAGTAATTATTTTGATAAACGATAAGGCTCATTTTACAATATAGAAAATGTGGCGTATATTTCTTATACTCCAAAACTACTGTTAAGAAAGAGAAAGCCGCATAAATCACCTGCATTTCCATAACAAAATTATTTACTATTTCAACTCAGGTTATGTAAAACATATGGTGTCACATGATACAGAGGAACTACAGCGTAATGCATTATAAGAAGCCGAGAAGGACAAGTCGGATTACTGAAGCAATGAACAACAACACAATATATAGAGATGCGTACTATAGCAAGATTTATAATCTTTATTTCCCAAAGAGAAACTTAGTTGACTAATTACTACTATAGAGATCCAACCTTTGTTCGAACAAGCTTCAAGAAAATACTCTGTTTGCACAGCAGGGTTCGGTTCCAGTAACTCAACCAGCAAATTGTCAGGCGCAACAGCAGCTTGATTCGTTGGCCGTAAATCATTAGCATCATCGTCTTTTTTATTTGTCACTTTCGTCATCTTCCTTAAAGAGGTAACAGAACACGTCTCATTATATGTTGATGGTTTACCGACTGAAGAGTATTCAAGAAAACCATATATCTATTTTCTGATTTTCACGGATAAAATGTACTGTGGAATGAATATACGAAACGGGCTACTATGCTATTTAAAACATGAAAAGGAGATTAATACCTGAAAGTTTTACATTTTCTCAATGAAGGTTTCACATTTTCTTAGTTAACGGTCGAAAGATACTATTCGTCCAAATATAATTGATATCCCACATGTCTGTAAACACTGATAAAGACCACATCTAATGCCTTTAACAAATAAAGAAGATAAAAGCGAGAAACAGTACACTGAGAAATATCCCTGGTGACAATTCACCCAGTCATGACTGCTTGGAAACCTACAGATACAATTCAAACCTCCCTCCCCATAAATATAAAAGGTACCATTAGGACAACTACACCAGAACCTCCAAACCAATATTCTTCGGAATAATGAAAAAACTTGTAGACAAACCGAAAACCCCACACTGGAAGCTCCATCTTTGACACGCACGTAACCACTGCCCAAGCAGCATCAGAAAATCGTGAAATGGACCGATAATGAATGTGCATGACAATGCGAATAATCCACCCGCCCACACACCACACGCAGTTGGTCATCCCCTTCCTGATCTCATTACCAACCTGACCCACCTGTCTACTATAGCCATGGATTGAGACGGTCAGTAGGAAAGGGTTTTCATTCCGTTGTGCCACACTGTTGGTTTGCTGCTTGGTAGGGTCGCGTCGAGAAGTTGGGGAAACTCATTCGTGATTGGCGTAGGGCGGGAATAGAACAAAGGTTCAGCTAGGCTCAGGGTTCATCTCTGAGTTGTGCAGGGATTTGATTTATTTTGCTAGTTACCTTTTCGTTTTATAATAATCTCTACTTAGTAATAAAAACAGTGAGATATGCGATAAGACAGATCACAGAAAGTAATACAAGTAGGTGAGGCTGTGCCACGATAAAAAAGCTAAGTACTGTTAGACTATATCCTTTTAATTCGTAGATTCGCTAGCATCACCTGACCTCGTTACATGTATACACTTCATGGTTCAATTTGTAATTTGAAAATTTGGAACATTTACTTTCAGCGGAAAGAAAAGATGACCAAAGTTAAGGCTCGTGATTTAAGAGGAAAAAAAAGGGAAGAGCTAACGAAGCAACTTGATGAACAGAAAACGGAACTTGCTTCACTTCAGGTTCATTGATTCGGCCCTATTTTGAAAACACTGGTCCAAAACATATTCTGGTTGTTCGGCATATTCTGGTCAATCGGTTGTTTCGAACAACCGATTGCTATCACCTTTTTAAAGGCTGATGTTGTTGGTATTCTATTCAACCATTTTACATTTTTCTGCTTGCTATAGAGTTATGGTGTGATTACAGGTATCAAAAGTGGTCGGTGGAGGCGCCTCGAAACTTTCGAAGATTCGTACTGTCCGCAAGAATATCGCCCGCATTTTGACAGTCATTAATCAAACACAGAAACAAGAATTGAGGAAATTCTACAAGGTTATTTTAATAGCTTATATATTTTCTCTCGATTCCTATAAAAACCTGTTTTTTCAAGCTACGTATTAATGCATTCAGTTTATAGTACCGATTGTTGATTTTTATAATTGTAATTTATAATGAATAAATCAGTAAGAAAACTTGCTAAAGCCGTAATGCCGTAGATTATCATGTTCCCTAGTGTTCTCTCCATCACTAGTAAGATTGACATCAACCATGGTTAGGTTTATTTTTTGCATCAAATTTTCTTCCAGCAAAGTAACTTGCTAGAATAACTCGAAGTTATGATATTTTTCGAAGATTTTTGTATATTGGTTAGATCCATTGCCTTCATTTTTTGGTCAGATTAGTTTTATGGAAAACTTATGGATATTATGACTACAGGTAGTTGCGAATGACGTGAAGGCAAGCAGCGGAATAAGTATGTGCTTTTGGCCCTATCAGGATTAAGATGCTCAACTATTAACAAAAATAGGATGTAATCCTAACAAATTTATTTACAAGTTAATAACTCTAATAGTTAATAACTCTAATTTAAGGGAAAGCACTTCAAACCACTTGATATTCGACCGAAGAAAACACGAGCGATGCGTCGTGCATTGACTAAGCATGAAGCGAATTTAAAAACAAAAAAACAGCTTGCCAAACTTCGCAAGTATCCATTGAGGAAATATGCTGTAAAGGCGTAACTTTGTATTACCCCTGGTTTTCACGTTGTTTGTTGACTGGAAAGAGTAAATATGTTTTTATCGATTTCACACACGTATTACATTACATTGACCATGTGAGGTTATGTGCATCTAAAGGCTCTCAAAATGTATAATTTGGAAGTTTTTTCCGTATTCAGCTAAGCAATCTATTTCGACTTATGCATACCTATAAGCAGTCAGTTTGATTTCACCAAAGATATTTTAGTTGATATCTGTTTTATTATATATGCATGAGGTCAAGTTCTTCATTTCTCGAGGTGGGAATTATACCTTGAAATGCTTTTGTAGTCACACAATGGAAACCGTGATACATCAAAGAGCCTAGTGATCTATCATATAGTCTAACAATATTCAGCACGAGTCATTTTTAGAAATCTCACATGGACAGCATGATCGTAGCACAACTGTAGGGTAATCTTTTTGAAACTTTGTTTTGTTTTTGTTTCGATCACGTATTAAATTATCTCGAACTTCAGTTATTTGGTTTGGGACATTTTAAGCAATAACATTTTGGTTGTCCATGTTCTCAAAATTATGCTGACTATATAAATGTCATTTCAACCTGTATATACTTTCATTTATGAGTACTACAAGTGGGGGAGTGCATTTACACGACTTAAACTCCAAAATGGATTTCAATAACAGCGTCATGCGAGAGACGTTGTGAGTATTGACAGTGATCAATCATGTTAAGTTGGGGAAGTGGTCTTTCTATCCAATTCACTGAATGAAGTGAACGAAAATGTTAGCATTCGACGTTTTTTTTTGAAATATTACTCCATTTATAGTTAACTTATAAGTTGAATGTTCTTTGATACAGAAATATAATATGTTCCAACAGACGTATGAAATGCAAAGATGGTGATACGTAAGTGGAATAAAGCGAATTTTATTTCAGCTTCTTAAAATTAATCTATGAACTAAAACTAAAGAAATTAAAAAAAGATGAATTAAAAAGATTGAGTTAGTGCTACCCCCTGAAATACCTAGTAGTGTCTATAATCCTGTTTCATTGATTCGGAAAATCTCAGTACTGCTTCACTGGTTCGGAAAATCTCAATGAGAGTAGTTACTAATTAAGGATAGATGAGTTAAGCACAGCAATTTCCAGAAATAGTAATACTGGGTGTAGCGAATATTGTTCGGGTTCGTTTGAGAGGGTGATGTCGGAGACCACTATTCCCAGCTATGTAACGCGAGATGTCTTAGCGTTAAGTTGAATTGAGTTGATGCAAATACGATGATTTGAGTTGAGTTGTACACGCTCTAGATTGTAGACAATTTTATTGATAAAGCTTTCACTCGGTTAATTATAGGGTTATATCTATTAGGAAATGGGATTGGTTTAACGT